TCCCCTTCCGTTTACCAGCAAACATTTTTGGATGCCTGCTGTGCACTGTTCACAGGGTAAAGATGCAGTGATATGGTCCAGGCCAGAAGGAACCTGGAGTTCCGTGAGAAGGCATCCTGTGAATAATGCCAACCAGGATGGTCACCAGATATTGGGCTGGTGAGAAGATGCAGTGGTTACATCGGCCAAGAACCCACTGAGCTGAAATCAGCTACCTGGAGCAGGCTGCCCCTTAGCTGAGTCTTGAGGGACAGAGAGGAGTTGGACAAGCAGACAAGCAGGAATAGGAAATGGGGTGGGGATCATTCCAAACACCAGGTGCAGCGTTTCTAAAGGCAAAGTACAAGCAACTTGGAATTGCTGGCGTACAAGTTGAGACTTAGGTAAGGTGGTAGAAGTGACTGAACAGGGTTATACATTGTTAATACTTCTGGTAATTATCACACTGCATTGTGATTTACCTATTTTTCAATTTATTGTGCAATTATTTATCAATGCATGTATCACCTCCCACACAGGATTATGCATTCCTTGAGGAGCACCCTTCAAGGAGCAGGTTTGTAGCAGGTACTCAATGAGCATTTGTTGGTTGGCTGAGTGGCTGGATGATGCATGGATGGGTGGGTGGGTGATGAGTAGCTGATGAATGGATGGAGGTATAAATATGCACGTTAAACTGAAAATGAACAGTTCCCAGCTTCGTAGCTGTGGCTCTCAGCAATGTCCCTGCTGCTCGTGCAGCTGCTCTGCTCCTCCTGGGTTGTCTCTGCCTAAACTTCTCCAGCCTCAGGAGACTCCTCTCTGACCATCCAGCTTTCCCAGCCAAGCGGTGCTGAGGGGTTGGGAAAGGTCACAGAGACAGCTTTTTCCCACAGCCCAGCACCGAGAGTGGAGGGTTCCTCCCCCAGGGCCAGGAGGGAGAGCATGGGCATCATTAGATTAGGGTCCAGGCTGTAAACTGAGCGGGCAGGGTGACATGGGAATGTCAGGATACCTCCACGTACTCTGGCCTCCCAGGCTCCAGACATGAGTCCTTGTCAGCAGAATGTGCAGACTCTCCAGATGCTGGCACGCTACACTGTCCTTGAGAGCAGGCTTAGTGCCCATGTCAGAGACACCCAATAGCATGATCTGCTGGCTGTTATTTTTATTAGCCTTCATGTCTTGGCCCTCTGCTGTTCCTTCCCACCCCTTCCTGCTAACCTAAATTGCCTAAAACAAAGGCTGATAAACTCCAGAAAAATTCCTTTTTCTTCTGAGGACCATCTCTGACCAACTACCCAGAAATGAGCTAAACGGAGGCTGCCCCACTTGCCAAGGCTCTGTAAAAGCTCACCCTTCTCCCCTGGGGGCAGAGCACTGGAAGGGTGTGGTCTCAGGCTCTGGCCTTCTGACTAAAAGCTATGCTTAACCACACTCAGTGCTCTGGTTCATCTTCCACCGTAGGATACATCTCCCTAGGTAGTGCCAGTTACTGACCACACAGGAAACAGAGATGTTGGGTCTCGCACTGTTTGAATTGGCTTTGGGATTCAGCTCAGGTCAGCTCTGGCAAACTGAAAGGGGGGACTGAGCCCCACTTAGGCACACACTGCTTGAATTCCTTTAAGAGAATTGGCGCATTTACTGCTCACTGGTGCAGCTTTGAGTTTTGGCTACTAATACTTTAGTTAGCCAACAAGTACAGCTGCAAATCTGATATTCTAGGCAAGAAGTATCCCCTTTACTTCTCCCTTGATCTTTTAGATTTAATATTCAACAACTTGGTCCCATAGAATCGTAACAAGTGCTGGGCACTGGGTCTAAAATGATTAAAGCACGCCAGTGCATTACTAAGGGACCCCAGTGGCTGCCTAACTAGCAGTATGTTTCCAACTCTTACTGGATCAAGTCACTTTCATCTTCTGAGTTTTCTAGTCCAGCTCCAAATGAGATCCTGTCCAGTCAATCCCATTTGACCACTAAGAAGGCAAACATGCAGGTGAGCGGTAACCTGCCACGCCTCCCACTTATTTACCTGTCAGATATTAAATAGAGTGCAAATGAGAGAACAGTCTGTATTACGTGGCAAAGTGCCAGTCCTGTGATGGCAGCTCACTTGTTTTACTGAGAAACTTCTATTAAGGAAATTACAACTGTCTCACTTCCCCTTGAAAATACCGAAGGAAAAAAAATCAACCCACAGCTATTCCGAAATAAAGGCAGAATTGAGTGACTCTTACACACAATTAAGTCATGCTCTTTTGTTCAAGTCATCCATCTGGAAAAATAGCAACATGATTTAGACCTTTCTGAACCTCTCCCTTTACCTGCTAACCTCTGGAAAGTGAATTAAAGCTGGCAAAAGGTGCCAAGTTAACTGCTATCGAATCAAGGACCATGGAGACAGATGCATGTTCTGGAGCCACGCAGTGAAATGGGGACTTGCCAGGGGGATTAAAAACACATCGAAATGACCTTGCCATCATCGAATGCTCCTCTGAAATTCAGGGTACGCCCACTCACAAAAGGGTGTTTCTCCAGGAACAACTGTAGGCGTGATAGTAACAGCTGCAGTAGTATTCACAATAAACACTAACGCATTTTAGATCCTTATTGTGTATCACGCACAGCCCCAAGCACTTTACATATATTAACTCATCTAATGGACCATCCTCAACATTCCTATTTATTTTGGTGAAAACTCCTACCCAGTTTCTAACAGTGATAAAGATTTAATAATTTTCCCCAAAGGCAGACGACGTGATCCAGGCTTTCACAGTCTGCCTGCCTGAGTTCCTGTCCTGTGAAGGCAAACAGGCCAAGAGGCGTGAGTATCATGAAGCTTTGCCCCACTGTTGTGTAACTAGAGCCTCTAACTCAAATGCTGTTGGATTTCTTTTCAGAAAAACAGAAGTGTCACTCTATACACATCAGTAACTTTATGATTAATCACTAAAGAAATGCTATGCAATTAAGTCTCCTCTTGCACTGTCAGAGTGCAGGAGTGTGTGTGGCCTTTCCAGAAATTCCAGACCAAAGTGTGGTAGCGCTGTGAACAGAATCTGAGGCATAAAGACCCACAAAGTCTCCAGGCATCTTTGAGCCAGGTTCCTCACACACTGTGGGGGAATAAAAGATGTCTTTTGAGAATGAGCACTGCATCCGTCCTTGGCAATATTCTCCACATAGGTCAGTTTGGTTATATGTATCTGAAAATTGGAATTTAAAAGGGTGAATGCTCCGAAATGAACATGTAATTCATAGTCATAGAAGTACTATTATAAATTTTCTCTTCAATTTAACGTGACTTTATATATATATTTTAAATATATCTTTATTGATTTCAGACAGAGGAAGGGAGAGGGAGAGAGAGAGAGAGAAACATCAATAACGAGAGAGTCATCGATCGGCTGCAGCCCGCAACCAGGGCATGTGCCCTGACCGGGAATCGAACCCTGATCACCTGGATCCTAGGTCGATGCTTAACCACTGAGCCACGCCCGGCCGGGCTAACGTGACTTTAAAGATACTGGGCAGTCTGCTTTGCAACAAAACGTGTGGTGATGACACTGGCTGTATCTTATAGACCCCCAAACGGGTCCTGGCTCAGGCGGCCCACAGGAGGACTCGGGAGGGCACATGTGTGCTCTGAGCGAAGGCCTTCTCCCTAGGCTTTCCTGGCTGGTGCACTGCTTCACCAGGGATGCTGTGACCCATGTGGCCAAGCTGCAAGTTAAAGGAAATGACACCTTCCTGACCAAATTCCTCTTCAAGTTTTGACTAATATCTAAAGGCAGATAGCAAATACTCCAGCAACCTGCACTCACCTCAGTCATTCTGAGGCACTATACCAAGCTAAACAATGAAGAAAGAGCATTTTGTTTTTCAAATGACAGAAACAGTGAAGCAAAGGAACGACAGTCATATGCTGGGCATTCTGTATCCCAGTTTCTGCATTTTAACACAGTGGAGAAGATACATGTTAAGAAAATGGTAAAATTTAAACATGTTTTAAGTTTAAAACATTTTAAGCCTACGATACAATTTGAGTGATATCATATGGGTAAGTTAAATTATGTGGAAAACTAAAAAATATGCCAAAAGGAGCAGAAATAAAAAGATTTTGGGGAGGAAGTACAGAGAGAGGAAAAAGAAGTTGCAGCCTTACTACATACAGTATGTGCTTGCTCACATCTGTAAATTGAATGCAAATTTCCCTAAATTCTGGAATGGTGACGTTAAAAACTGTGATAAATAAATAACATGCCAGAGTAGAATTTCAAAATATATTTCACATTTCTAAGATCACAAAAAAAATTCCCTATTAGTAGCTTAAAATATTTTTTGTCAGAACTATACTTTTGGTAATTAAAATAAACATTTGATAAAGTAATAGAAACATAATCAGATATGCTTTCTATATATGTATAATTTTAACATGTATTCTTTATGGTGTATTTCATATAATGATAAATTCTTTTTACATTATTTTAAAAAACTGGCAACACAAGTTCCCAGATTTAACTATCTGCCTGGGGAACTCGTGCCCACATCCCATACTGGGAAGTCCCCCGCATGCACAGATACAGACTCCCTGTGACCTGGCCAAGGTCTCTGTGAAGTTCCTCAAAGTGTAGAAGTGGCCCCTGGAGGTGCTGGTGGAGGGGGCTGCCCCTCAGCTAGGGGGCCTATTGAGCCACAGGCAGGTTTGGCAGGAGCAGGGGGGCAGTATACAGAAAACTATACTGTTAAGTGATCCACTCCCCACCCTACCTCCCCTAAGAAAAGTTAAAAAAAAATTAATTTTAAAAATTGAAAGTCTCAAACTTCAGTGACACCGTCTTTCAGTACTTTCAGCCAAAATCCCTTCATTCTCTTCCTTATCTGACTTTACGCCCAGATATCCTGAAGATAGCGTTTTTCTTCTTTTAAAGTAGCCAGACTTTTCATTGCTTCCAGTTTATCAACTCCAACCTCTTTCATTATTATTTCTACAAGGGTATCATTTACATCCTTGGCCATATTCTTAGCATCTCTAGAAAAAAGAAAATAGTACTGATGTTTACGAAACAGGCATTTGCACCAATCGTCCTTAATTCATAGCCCTAATCTCCACTGGTGCCCCATCACAACACATCAGTCCTCCTTCCCTTCTCTGCAAAGTGTCCCAAAAGGTCTCCCAGCCCGTCACCTGTCACTCCCCGACACCCAGGCCTTCACACAGTGACTATTCTAACATGCACAGCCGACCACACTGGTCACAGCCTGAAGTCCTTCAACGTCCATGTCCTGGGAGAGACCCAAACCTTAAGTGTCTAAGGACCTTCCCACCTGGCTCCTGCTCGCCTCTCATTCCCTCTGCCATTCTCAAGGCACACAGTGGGACTTGCATTCTGAGGGCAACAAGCTCTCTCTTACATATCTAAGGCTTCACATGTGTGCACACACATGTATACATGAGTGCACACACACACACTAACAGACCCACTCTGAGACCTTACACGCGCCCGGCCCTTATCTAAGTGCTGTGACGTGCCTCAGCTCTGTTCATTTATAGGAAAGGTGAGGTGCCCTCCTGGGTGCCCTGCAGTTCCCTGTACAGCACTTGCTATATTATAGACATCTGGTCTTGTGCTCCCCGCCCAGGGAGTGCCCTGTCTGGAGGCAGGGAGCGTATCTCATTTATCTTCGCAACTCTCACCATCTGAACAGTGCCAAAGCCCTCACTAGGCACTGTTTGTTAAATGAAAGAAATGTTGGACAGGACTCTAGCATGGCAGGAACTGAACCTGACCTGCCCCTTACAGTAAAATGTATGTTAAAGTCATTGCAGAACTTATTTCTCTCTTCCTATACATAAGAACTAATCTCTCCTCCCTCCAAGTCTGGATTATTATTACCTGACTGGTCCCTTACTCGTTTAAGAAATATCATGCTGGCCCCACCTGGCACCTGAGCGTGAGGGCCACTTACCCGCACACATAAATATAACCGTTCTCTTGAAGAAGGAGCCTTGCCACCTGCTTGCTGTGAAGCTGGATGTTGTCCTGCACGTACTTCACTGGGGCCTCCTCCCCAACAGGGGCGTCTCTTGAAAAGGACACCTTCAGGTGAGTTAGGATTCCGTGCTTATGGAAATGCCTGAGCTCTTCTCTGAAATACAATACATAACAGGTTCGCAATTTAAATTTGAAAAAGTCTACAATGAGAACTGCACCCTCATGGTTGAGTATGAGATATAGAGATANATTTGAAAAAGTCTACAATGAGAACTGCACCCTCATGGTTGAGTATGAGAACAGTAGAGATATAGAGTACCTGAATAAGTAATCCCTATCCTGATGTCTACAGCCAAAAAACAACCACGTCACCCCAAAGCGTCTGTCTGGATGTTGTTCTTGGAGTTTCTCTCTAAGTGAAAAAGAAAGTTGAGATATTTAACGTAAGAAACATGTACAAACAATCTCTCTCTTTGGCCAGGAAATACCACCAACGAACCCAGAAAGGTTGTAAAATCTATCTTTGCAGTCCCTGAAAGTTCATTCACTGAATTAACATTCTACTCTCCTTAGGGCGCCTCGGCCCCTGGAGCAGACACTACAGTGAGTGAGCGTCTCTGAGCTGCCAACACCTATGAGCTCTACATGACATCTTTATAACAAGGAAAATGCAAACACCACATTGTGAAACCCAGGCTGATTTTTACATTCAATATTAAGAGCAATATTATGAATAAAATTAACTCTCAATTAATACACTAGAACAGTGACAGGGCTTTGAAGGGTAGACTGATCTGCTGTGGGGTGTCAGAAATGATGGGCACAACGATGACACACACTGAGCATGTCTGCCATTTCTCTTCTGCTTCCTTAAGGGAAAAAACTAAAGCAAAATAAAACAACAGAAAGATTATGTCCAAAGGATAGTACCCATTGTCTGGGGAACAGGACATAAAAACTGTTCATTATTTCACAAATGGGGAGAGAAGCACAATTTTATTTATTTTATATCAAACAGGTATGTCCTCATAAAAAGTTACATCTATTAGTATATCATTCTACTGAAAATTACTAATGTTTGGGGCTTAACTTTGATAGTTTTGGTAGAATTAGAGCTGTCACCACCAACTTTATCTACTGAAGGAATAAAGAGAACAGCCTGCATAGCATCGCAGCGCGAAGCTCTGCTGGAAGTCTGTCCCCAGCTACGCATGCTCCAAACCTCGGGGCAGCCAGGGAGAAAGGGAAGGACTGCAGTGAAAAACAAAGTTCCAGTACAAAGCACATCCTAGAAGACCAGTATTTACTTCTCCCATGGCGACGAATTATGCTACGCTGTCACACATTTGATAACTTTTTAAATTAAAAATTTTACAAGGAAAGTCCAATGTCCTAAAAACCACCGAAGACACAAAAAAGCACTCTGTTCTATTTCCACTCAGGACCCCAAGGGATCCATGTGTTCACCAGCCAGACAGCATGTACCTGTGATGCAGGAAACCAATGAAGGGCGCTATGCCAGTTCCTGGACCCACCATGATGACAGGGACTAAGAGGTCATTCGGTAAGTGGAAAGAATTTGCTGTCCGAGGAGAGATGGATATCTGGAATATTAAACCAACAGTCAGAAGTATGAAAGAAAACCTAGACAAAGCCTATTAACAAGATGATCTTTGCTACAGAAATCACAAAGCACAAATTCCCCTCAAAGAAATGTGGTAAAATTAAACATCTTATTGAAACCAAGGACACATTTGTCACTACAGAGAAATAAGCCTGTCTTACAGATTTTTATTTTCCATCCAAATCATTGGTGTTTTAAAAACGACAAGTGGGATATTTCCGAGGTAGAACACTGCCAAGATATTACCACTCTTTTTCTAGTTCATGAGTAAGATCTTCTTCCTAGCATGCCACCCATTACATGTATTTTCGAGAAATGCAGAAAAAAGTGAAGACATGATAAAGTTTGTGCACACAGGACAATGAGATTAACATCAAGATGGGGTGAAAAGTTTTAAGTGAACATTAGGCAATGGAATGGGAAATTAAGGGCTTGCTCCGAAGATGTTAGAGGATTGAGCTATGGTATTCTGGGTCCAATGTTGTTTGTGTTTGCACAAAACTAAAAGAATAGCCCGGCCGGGCGTGGCTCAGCGGTTGAGCGTCAACCTGGGATCCAGGCAATGGGGGTTCGATTCCCGGTCAGGGCACATGCCGGTGTTGTGGGCTCGATCAATGACTCTCTCATCATTGATGTTTCTATCTCTCTCTCTCTCCCTCTCCTTTCCTCTCTCTGAAATCAATAAAGGTATATTTAAAAAAAAAAAAAAGCTAAACTAAAAGAATAAGTAACAGAGATAGATAAAATCATTTCACCAAAATTTCAAAAGATTTTTCTTCTAAATAATGTGCCAGGGTATTTATAAGGAATCAGTTTGTAAATGTACTTCTTTCAAGTTTCATTTTGCCACATGCCCCAGTTATGCTGGGTGACACTAAGAGTTAAGAATGACAGGAATCAGAAATTTCTGATTTCTGCTCTACAGTCCATGCTTGTAACTGTATGTATTTCAACTTAATTCAAGGAAAATCATATGAAGTTCACTGACAGAACTTACTTTTTAAATGAAGAACTGGCAGAGCTGTGTCAAATCATTGTTCTCATTTTGGAATGAGACTGTAGTTAATGTCACATTAGCCTATTCACTCAACTCATTCATTGAACAATTTTATTGAAGGCACTCAGTATGATAAGCACTAGGGATAGAGAAAGGAGCAAAACCAAATCCATCTTCATGGGATTTACATTCTAGTGGGTGGAAAAGACAACACACACATATGCCTAGAATGATGGATGATTAAGTCTCACGAAGCAAAATAAGACAGGATATGATGGGTATTGCAGGGAACTGATAAGGAGAGCCTGCTCTCTATGTTCTGGGGACTTCAAGACCAAATAGTAGTAGACTCTTGCCGGAGTAAATGTCAGATGGCTTACAGCACCACACACTTACTTCTGGCTCTCCTTAAAGGGTGCAGGTAGGCTCTGCTCCCTGGATCTCCTTCACGTGGGACCCAAGCCCAAGGAGCAAACCTGGCCTGGATGATCCTGTCCTTATGTCAGAAGGAAAGAGAGGCAAGCCACACTGCACCATCAGGTCCAGGGCTCCTGATCTGATGTGGCATATACCCTGTCTACTCCGGTTTCACTGGCAGAGGCTAATCATCAATGGGAGGAAACATTTATTACACTGGGGGGTTGAGGGAAAGGAGGCAGGCAGAGGGTGGAAATACCTGTGACTAACTGTATTACCTACCAGTCTGGAGGAGGGACTGTGGTGGGTCATGCCCTCAACATTCTCTACCCTTCCTAATTAAAATGTGACTGTATCCTTTCTATCTGCACCTCTGACATCTGCATACTGGGTAGTCAATAAAAATCTGCTGAAATGGGAAAGAGGGAGAAAAGGACAGGAGAAAAAAAAGAATATGAGAAAGGAGCCCCTTCTTAGTGTTTGTAATACATTATGGATATACTTTTATTTTGTAACTTTCTGGAGATCACCTGCTATTTTTATATGATCATGAAGTGATATAATACCTTTACATCAGTACTACATTTCTTTTCAAAAAAGGAATTTTTTCAGGTTCTCAATGTTTTGTTGTGATATAATAAATCTAGGAGTATGGAGGGGGAGGAGAGAAATGACCGACGGACACACACACACACACACACAGAGTAAAGCACCTCTGTTTCAGGCAGCAGACTGAGAAAATACCAAGTTAAAGGGCAATTTCAAGCAGTGGTCTCCTGTAATCCCTCTCAAGTATATACTAGAGGTCTTAATTCCCTCTAAAGGCTGTGACCTTTTCAACTCCAATAACTTATAGCAGCCAAACCAGTCATGAGATAACGCTACAATGACACATTCATTTCTTCAATACCATGGAGAAAAAAAGACTTCACAATAAAGCCTGAAGGTGGTTTTGTTTTTCCCCCCTAAATTTCAGTCATCATTATGGGCAGGGAGAACTACTTTAAATTGCTGCTTGTGCACGTGGTCTCAAAGGAGATTTTGCTGAGTGCTGTATAAAAATATAAACTATGTCAGGACATCCAGATATAAATGTGTCCAGTTTGTTTAAAAAAATAACATTTTCCTCTACTTGTTTTAAAAGTGATCCTCCTACAACGTCTTCTAAGAGCACTAATTCAGGACCTATACACCACGGCTCTGACACAAAGGAAAAGACAGGGGCAAGTGAAAATCATACCACCCAAACTGAAGGACAGAAAAATCAGCCTCTGGTTGTCAACTGACTGCCATTCTAAAAGGGCTTATTTGGGACGTAGGATACGGCCTAAACATAAAACCACGTTGTTTTCAATATTTGGCTAACTCTTCCTGTGCTGATCTACCAAGAATATTCATAGACAAAGTCTTCTCTTCCATGAATATGACAAAGAGAAAAGACTGCATTATATAAAACTCATTTATGAATGCACAGACACTTAACAGGGAGTGAAAGTAATGCCTTCCTGATTTTCTAACAGTGATTTAAAAATTCAAGTATGACACACATATTCCTTAGAATAATCTGATGGTAATGGACAATGCAGGGAGACTACATCTTTTTTCTAATCAGGCAAAGAACATAATTTCAATGATGCCAAAACTGCACAGTCCTAGTACCTCTGGAGCCGGGGCTTTCCTGCCGTCTGCAGGGGATGCACGTGTGTTTGGCTGAAGAACTGGCTCAACCAGCGTGGCTAGCCAGCCTGTGCACACACCTCTCCGCAGAACTGCCGATGTGGTGTTGGACAGAAACTCCACGACGTTAAAAACGAAGTGAAGCTTCCCCGGGTGAGAAAGACTTGAGCTGCAAAGACACACACATTTCTAAATTGTTAGGACTAATACATTCAGGCCAAACTAAGCCTTTTTCATTGCTGTGAGAACACAGGATGGGGCAAGAGTAGGTTCAGTTGTTAGTACAAGAAACAGTTTATTCCTGCATTATTAATGATTAACCATTGTATTATTTTCAATATGAACAACTGTAAACCTACTTTTGCTCCACCCTGTGTTTCATTATGGTCTCTAATATACTTTCTAACTCCACAGAGAGAGGAGCTCTGTTGCTACTTAAAAGCACCATCCCGCCCAGCCCTCATCTGTTACCACTCAGGGAAGTCTCCAATGACCTATCTGCCTTCAAGACTAGATAACATATGTATACACTTCTCCCTCTCTTCCCCATCCTCTCCCACTGCCCACTGAAGGCCGCCAGGTATCAATAACGGCAGCAGGAGGAGGACCTGGTGACTCACTACCCAGAGTAGGAACATGGCCCTGGAGCAGGGGAGCCACTGAAGATCCCCTACTCTGTGGCCTCCTGGAGGACAAGAGTCCTGACATTGGTCTGCTTCACTCATTACGCTGGCTACTGTCCCACAAATCAGGTAAGTTTTCACTGAATGAATGTGTAGCTACTAAGGATTTGGAGGTTAGACTTCCATAACATTTTGGGAGGAAGATGCCACATATGTTAAATATCAGTACCTTGCACATGAATATGGTCTGGGCTGGAGCTTAGGAAGATGTTCTAGAAAAAAGTAAAAATAAGCAATTATTAATTCATAGCTACTGAAAATAAATGATATATAAGAGGTAAAAAAAAATCAAGGTCTCATTTGATTCTTAATTTGGATTATTCAAAATAATTTATGTTTTGGTTGTAAATCATATTTTGAAGCACATGTAAATTCACCGTGCCTAAAAAACTACTGAATTCTTTTTTCTAATTCCTAAAGTAAACCAGACATATTGCATTTCCTTAATTTGAAATCAGTATTTCTACCTAAAGGCTGATTTCTGAAACTAAAGGATGCTATCTAATAGGCTCCATGAGTGGGATCCAGGGTCAAGGAACCCACTAAATATTCCGTGTGTGTGTGTGTGTGTGTNTGCTATCTAATAGGCTCCATGAGTGGGATCCAGGGTCAAGGAACCCACTAAATATTCCGTGTGTGTGTGTGTGCGCGCGCGTGCAGTTTTCTGGGGAGAGTGTTCAGAGAGTTTTCAGATTTGAAATAAGAGCATAGCCCCCAAAAGATTAATGACCACTATTTTAAGAATTATGTGTACTGAGGCTTGAAATATTTTTCTTCTAATTTTCAATATCATATTTATAACAGTCAAAATTTCCAATGTCATAATTGTAACAGTCATTTAGCAAAAATTTGGAAAGACCTTTCTAACATGGCTTAGTTTTAATATAAAAGAAAGGTTTCATACACAGTTCAACTTAATGCTAAGCTTTAGATATATTAAGTTTCTTTTTTTTTTTTTGGTCAATCCTCACCTGACGATATTTTTTCCATTGATTTTTTAGAGAGTGGAAGGGAAGAGGAAGAGACAAAGAGAGAGAGATCAATGTGAGAGGGATACATCGATCGGTTGCCTCCCACACACGCCCTGACTGGGGCCAGGGATAGAGCCTGCAACCGAGGTATTCACCCTTGACCAGAACTGAAACCAGGACCGTTCAGTCTGCAGGTTGATGTGCTAACCACTTAGCCATACCAGCTGGGGCAAGTTTTCTTAAAGAAATGGAAAAATAATATAAATTTTTATAAGTCTCAAAGTCTTGATTAAATTTTTAATATAACTATGTAATGAATGATACATCAAAGTTTTAAAAGGTAGTAGAAAACCCATGAAAAGAAATATACTCTTCTATGACTGAACTTCCCAAGACCACGTAGAGCTTCCCTGCACGTGTTCTGAATGTTATCCCAAGCCCTCTACTAGTCTAAAAGACTCTAATAAAAACGGCAGGAGTGTTTGTGTGAACACAGGAAAACAGGGAGGAGCAGCCTCCCTTGGTAACACTTCTCTACCCTTTTGAGGAGGAGGAGAGAGAACAAAATACTAAGAAATAAAAAGAAAATAAAGACTGATTTGTGAAGCAGGGGTCCTTAACTGCACTGGGCATCAAAGGGACCTTGCTGGCCTAATAGTAAAAAGTATAATACATTTTCCTGTCCCCAAAGACAAGTGCAAATTTTAGGGATTTTACTACTTATCACTATAGGTAAACAAAGAGATGACAAGATTATAAACACAGAAAATAAAAATTTAAAAATCATTAAATTTCTCACTTAACTCTACTGAAAGCCTCTCCCCTCCCCTGGACCAGTTCCTCAGGGAGAATCTTAAACCTCTCCCTTTGGAGTTTGAGGACCCCCCAAGAGACAGACTGAACAGAAAACAGGATGAACTTATATTTGAATATTTTGTGACATGTCTCGCCCAAGCTTAAAGCCTAGAAGCTCCTAAGTAAGGCCCTTGGTACTGGTAGGGCATGACAAAGACCCCCTTTGCTCTTAAAGACCCTAAACCTGGATTTGCACATAAAGTTGGTTTCCTTCTGCTTCCTGCACACAAAACGCACACTTTATCAACCTCCATCAATTAAATCTGATGTTAATTATCTTTGAAAACAGGCATTTTTTTCTCAGAAAGCTCACTTTTAGATAAAATTTGGGAAAATGCTTTCTGAAAACAGTAACATTAAAAGACACTGCGTGCTGAGCAAAAAAAAAAAAGAATTTTACAGAATGGAATACATGCAGCTGTAAAAAAGGAGGATTTCTTGCCCTTTGAGACAGCATGGCTAGACCTGGAGAGTATTACACTAAGTGAAATAAGCCAGTCAGCGAGAGACAAGTATCACATGATCTCATTTATATGTGGAATCTAATAAACAAAATAAACTGATGAGTAAAATAGACTCAGAGACACTGAAAAATACAACAGACTGATATCCATCAGAAGGAGTGGGAGTGTGGGAAGAGATTAACTAAAAAACCTATATGCATATTTGCATATCTCAAGGACACAGACAATAATGGAATAAAGGCCTGGGGAGGGGGTGGGAGTGGGTTGTACTAGGTCAATGGGGAAAAAGAGGGACATCTGTAATATTTTCCACAATAAAAAAAAAAGAAATTAAGACTGGATACATTAAGAGAAAATGATAGTGAAAATGGCAGAAGAAAAAATGAGGAAATAAAATAGCTTGGAAGAGGGATTCTTTCTGACTTCTAGAAGGCAGTTTCAGCGTCAGGTACCCAGAAGATGAACTGTAAGATGTTTCCCTACTGCTCAAGCTCATTCAGATGTGTTCCCGAATGCCTGCATGGAATTCAAAGGGCGATATGCCAGCAGCCACTGTTCTTTAGCACAGACAGCTGCCCTGCAGCTCAGGGACCATGACTGTGACCACTCACCGAGCAGGAGGCTGAGCGGGGGCTGGCAGGATGGGAACGCAAGCAGGAGGTCTAACAAGCTGGCACAGGCATCTCTGACAAAATGGTTATAATCGGCCGCTCCCTGTCTGCTGCACAGCTCCTGCAGCCTGCGCTTTTCCGCACCATCACTGGTATAGTCCACAAGGGCTCGCAAAAACGCCTGTGGCCAAAGCAAAGGAAGCAGATTTAAATTATCATGTGCTCTGTGGTTATGGCTTTTAGACTGTTTGTTAGTATCTACCTAAGGATGTGCCTGATTATCCAAGAAAAAGTCAGAGAGCCACTGAAAGTGTGGTCAGGAAAAGAGAATTAACTTTGCTATTTGCTTTAACATCAGCCTATTAGGAAAATCCACTTTTATGGTCTATTTTTGTTTGCCTTTCCTTTATCCTAAACTAACCTCTTAAGTCACAAGTATGATCTCAAATTACATGTCAGGTGTATCTGAGTAAAAATGATAAAAAAGTCTCATAGTTCAACATTTTGTCTCAGTACGCAGCACCATTCTTGTCTTAGCTGATGACAACAACCTAGACTTCTACATTTATTTGGCAATTGTTAAGTGCTTTATACGTGATAGACACTGGGTGCATGAGGCATTGGTGACAAAATGACACCTAGCTTGCCTGTAAGGGTTCACCGGCTAGTGAGACCAACAGACATCAAGCACTCAGTGTGCAAGAGGCTAGCTCCTCCCCAGAAATATTACACGCAGGGGGTTAGGGGCTTCCCAGAATGCAAGGATGAGCTAAAGGTTGGCCACAGGCAACCAGGGGAGTGAAGAATGGTACCCGGATGGCATGCCCTCCTGAAGGCATGGGGGCCATGTGCAGTTCAATACAGGTGCAGGGGAATGTGGACAAGGGACTGAAGGCTAAAGACGGAGGGTCGGAACATAGACACTCTGCAGTATGTGGCCACCTTGTCACTCAGATTCATTGTAGGAAGAGGAGATTGTGAACAAATAAAGCGAAACAAAGTCCTGAATCGCAGGTCTCAATGACTGGCTCAAGTCCAAACTCTGAGACAAAGGACCAAACATGCTAACAACAATTTGGGGATCCGACGCAATCCCAAGGTTAACCGTTCTATTACAAATCAGCTCTTATGACTCAAGGTTATTTAGGATGATGCATTTCAGCAAGTTATTTGTATCACATGCTTTCTGAAATGCTAACAGGTGCTATTACTTTTATTCCATGGCTCAGACATTGTGTGTCCTAGACTCCCTCAATAGGGCAGACCAGGTTGCTGCTCTTGGGGGGTTAGGGTTCCCACTGGCTTAGCTATGAACCTGCCTAAACGATCCAGAGACTAACACATCACATGGCTTTCTCAAAGTGCCGGCCACAGTGCTAAATACACAGCGGGCACTGGAGAAAGGCTGTAGAATGAACAAACACCCAAGTCTCTACAAGAGTTTATGGAATGGTAATAATGTTCTCCAGTAATGCTTTGCATCAGTTTTTCAAGACAATAAATTTCCTAAATTACAGTAAAATAGTGGCAATTGTAAATTCTTTAAATTATCTTTCACTTTAGAATTACAGAAGCTTTATTGTACTAAAACAGGATATACTCTGCTGTTGGTAGAGAGAAAGCTGGCAAATATTACTAAAACTTAAAATGCAAGTATTTTTAAAGTAGCAATACTACTCCAAGAGATTTGTTTAAAACAACACTTCAAACAGGTGTGCGAAGATGAATATAGTGCAAGAATGTTCACATCTGTTTTCTTTAATAGTGAAAAACTGGAAAGAACCAACTGTCCATGATTAAATCAACAGTTATGGTGCACTCCTGGCACCTGTTATTTTATCTCCAATGTCTTTCCATGTGGGGTATACAAACTACTGACTTCTTCTTAAGTAAAAAAAAATAAAAAAATAAAAATTGCATGTTATGGAATGTTACTTTTTTTTTTAACACAACAAAATTCAAGCATTAACTATGAGGGTTTCATTATAAAGGACTTTTGCTTCTTAAGTTTGCTATGTTTGTGTCTGGAATTTTTATAATGAGCATATTATTTCTGTAGTAAGAAAATATATATATATTTTATGAAATTTTAAAAATGGTAGAATTGAACCAAAGTTTTGAATTCACTTAATTTAATCAAGAAACTTTCATCAAAGTAAATTCTAAATTTGCTCATATTATATCTAGGACTGAGCCACTCTCTAGAGTAGCTTGCTTCCCAAAGGTGACAAATAAACACATTAATAAAACAGAATAAAAACTGCACCGTGGAGGGTGGCCTAATAATAGCACTGTTTATGTTCATTGGCCATACGAGTTTGGCAAAGCACGGGTTGGAAAGTTTTACTCCTTAACATCCATTTGAGGGGCATGGTTGGAAGAAATTTGTTACAACTTTTTTTTCTTTTTTTTTTTTTAATACAGCTCTGGGCAGAACACTGACATCTAGTGGATACTTCTATCTCCAAATTTATCCAAACATCAATACATCAATATAGCCTACCAAAACCTTTCAATACTTCCGGAAGAATTCTGACTTAACAATAAATAATTCTATAGTTTTACATACAAGGGAGTTTAACAACATTAAACAAGTGACAAGTGAAAGTAGGAGAGGGAAGCCTACACTCTCTTAAGTTTCTTGTCATCCATGATTAGAGAGACAAATGATCAGAGTGCAGTTGGATAACACAAGGTCATCTAGGGTCACTTTCATCTCTAATGTGCTACATCAAGTTAATGGCCAGTAAAAGCAAGACCAACAAAAAGCCCTATTTAAGAAATCTCATTTCAATAGAAAACAAAATTTCAACATAAGCACAACATAAACATATTTGTCTATGAAAATTATAAAGATACCACACACCCTTTGGAACTAATTCTGAAAGCATGCTGCGAAAATCATAATTTCTAAGCCTTCAAAGGACAGATACCAGATCTATTTAATAAATCCAACACAGAGCTAAGCATATTTATAAACAGTTACCCAAAGAAGAAAGAAAAGCACCTTTTTGGGAATTGCACGTATTTCGAGGCACCAGGTAAGAATGAACTGGAGAGAACATCCCTCAGGTATATGCTGGGGCATGGCTGCTCCTTTTCAGGTAGACAGGAAGGAGTTCATGACACAGAAAATAAAGAGTGAAATGTTTGCATTCCTAAAAACACAAGTAACAGTAATACTTTACGTTATAGTGTTATCAAATTGCAGTATGATTTGTGACAATGTTTATTCAGTCAAAAAAGTTTCCCCCAAATAAATACAGCAGAAAAACCCACCTTATAAAAAATAAAATAATTAAAAACTCAATAGCTATAACAACCAAATCTAGGGATGCCAAACAAAAGAAAGGAAAATTATCCAAAACCAAGGAACAAAAGCCAAATATGGCAGTGGTACATTAATATCATGTCTGAATCTCAAAAAGAATGTTAGAACTGACTTAGCTCAAGTTCAAGACACTAAGAAATAACTAAAATAATAACTTTCTTTAATTACAAAAAAAGCAATTATTTATATTAAATAACATGCTATGATAAATAGGAAAACTTTTTAAAAAGGTTCATAGAATAAAGAACATTTTCTTGTATGACACTTTAATACGTGAACTTAAAAACAAAACAATGCTAATTGCAAAAAGCAAACTAACAAATCAGCCCAACTAACCAACCTGCTTCTCCAAGAAGCAGGGGGCTATAACTGTATAGCCCCTTTTAATGTCAGTAAGCGTCCAATAAGTATAGACCATCTTCATCTCACTCTGTAACTGACATGAAGGTGAAGAATCCAGCAATACCAGCCAGTACCTGTGTTCCTCACTGACACCTGGCCGACCCTCTGGTGCTGAACAGGAGTCTGGGGGAGGCACAGTCGCACCTGTTACCTCTGATTTGCTGGCCCAAGGACACTTTAAGAAAGAGATCAGGGCCATACCTTTCTTCTTGGTATCAGCTTTAATTTTCAACATGACACGGTGCTCCCTTTGGTCTGTGAGCTGCAGTCTTTGGAGTAGGCTTTGCACCTCAGAGTCACTGTTGGGACAGATCACATTGAAGGCATCGCCAGGCTGATAGGAAAAATCTGTTTTCTAGAGAAGAACCAACACGAAAGAAAAAAATCCTGTATGAAAGATTCAGTTGTGGGGAACAAAATCATAGTTTTTATTATAATGACTATTTTAATACATAAATTAGAAACAAAATGATTCTAATTTCAAAAAGTTAATAAGCCCAACAAACTGAATGAACACACTTTATTAGGAGTTACTTTAAAAATGAAATCCCTTAGTTATCCAATATTTTGCTTTATATCACTGGGTATTTACAGAATGGAAATGAGGACCTTCCTCATTTTCTATAGAGTAAGGGACCTCAGTAAGTAGTGTTAGTAATCCATGTGAAAAATCCTCTTATGAAAACATCCACACATATACACACAGGCACACACACATTATGACCAAAAGAAACTACTCAAGGCTGTTGGTATTGGTTTTCAATTTCCTTTGTTACTCCTTTTCTTTGGGGAGAAATAGGGTGAGAGAGGACACTATTTTTCCTTTAGGAGTGGACAATGTTATACCATCTGGCTTGGTACTGGCTGTGAACAAACAGTGGCTGGAGGAGCCACTTCCCACTCCGTGTCTATTTACAGTGACGAAGGACACAGACCAGAGTCCTGCAGAGAGCCTGACCACACACTCACATTCCTAGCCTGCGAGGAGGACAGATTGCACCCACCAACTCAACTGGCCAATCCTTTACCTTTTTGTGACAAAAGTGTAGAACAGCAGAAGGATAAATAAAATGTTTTGATGTATATAGAATATTTAACTGCCACGTCCTTTTCCAACCATGTCGTCTGACAAGATCCGGACGTGGAGAGGAAGCTTCAAGGAAGGCGTCTTCTGGGGAGAGGACGTGGCATGTGGGTGAGAGTAATGGGCTTAATGGGAATATCTCTTCTCCTTGGAGGGGGATTTTGGGCCATAAATCAATAACTAACCTGGGAATGGTAAACAGTGTTCTCACTTCTGAAGAAATCCTGATTTCTCCAAGTCCAGTCACTATCACAGGTGCCAGATGCTTTAACAAATTGTTACTAGAAGAAGCTAGGAAAACTCCCCCTGGCGCCCCAATAAGGAATTTATGGAGGAACCAGAGAAAGCTGAGCCCACGCAGCCGCCTATACTCAAGTGCCTCCGCCTTTGGTTGCAGGATTAGTCGAGGACAGGAAAAGGCCATCGCCCCTCGCCTGCTGTACAAGGACCACCCTGGGTAGCATATAGAATAAATGGCAGATTATGGCATCCCCCTAAAAAGGGCTAACAGTATGGAAAGGCTACCAGACCCTCCTCTGCCTTATACAGGTGCTTACAGTGAGAGCGGTATCAGAACAGTTAATGTAAACGGAAGGCATGTTCAGCAGGAGAACCTGCCCTTCATGAAACGCGTGGCAAGGCAGCGGCCACACTGGTGCTCGCTCCCAAAGGAACAAAAGAAAAGCATTCTTAAGCAGTTAATCAATAGCTATGGCAAAAGGCACTCTTTTCTTAGAAGAAAATGGCAAGAATATAATNACAGGTGCTTACAGTGAGAACGGTATCAGAACAGTTAATGTAAACGGAAGGCATGTTCAGCAGGAGAACCTGCCCTTCATGAAACGCGTGGCAAGGCAGCGGCCACACTGGTGCTCGCTCCCAAAGGAACAAAAGAAAAGCATTCTTAAGCAGTTAATCAATAGCTATGGCAAAAGGCACTCTTTTCTTAGAAGAAAATGGCAAGAATATAATAGCTTATGAATAGGTCCATAGTTAAAATATAACCATAAGAAGTTGTAACCACAGGCAAATATTATATAAAATTTCTGTCGCACAAACTAATATATTACTGCTGCAAACAAAGCCACATCTATCACTCTATAGGTCACTGATTTTTCCTTTCTCCTCTATTCTAAAAAATAAAAGTAAAAATTGTTCCGTTCCGATGAAATCGAAACTTGTATTGTTTAACCTGTGAATAATATTTCTTGCTTGCTAACCGAAAAAATGTAATCGTAGCCAAAAAAGAAAGTATAAAAGATTATGTTGATTCTCAATAAAGTGGAACAGTGTCACACCACCTCCGAGTCGTGTAGTCTGCTGTCTCCCAGCGCCGACGCCTTGCCCACCTTTGGCACCCGACTCCCGTTGCGGCTGGACCGCGGCATTTAACAATGTGAAATATTGGAAATGCTCAAAACAAGTATGGAACTACTCAATAGCATGCAAGCAAAAACTTGACGCCTGTCGTATTTCTTTTTCTCTATTAGGAAACTCAATTAAATCTACGTAGACAGCCTAGATGAACCCTGGTTTTTCTGAAATCGCAACCCACTGCACTCTCAGGAGCTTCATAAAAATAAATGGTTGAGCTGCGTGACTCTGAAGTAGTACTCAAGCACTGAGGTTTCAGGATTACCCATCAGTTTCTTAACCTGAGGTCAATGGGATTGTGGGAGAGAGGACTGAGATAAAGTACACAGTGCCTCCTGAAACTGTAGAAAATGTTTGTATATAATCATTTCTCTAGAAAGGGGGCCAATGACTTTTTTCCCAGATTTTCAAAGGAATGAGAATCAGTGCTCTGAAAAATGAACTGTTCTATGGCTGTCTAGTCTGAGCTCTATGTCCAGCTAGCTGGCTGACTTCAGGTGAACAGCTTCCTTCCAGGGCCCTTCTCATCTGGAAAATGCACCTGTGCTTCCATGGTTCTTTGGTGGCTCAGTGTGGAAGTCAGCAACACTACTCTCAAGCTGAATCCCTGCCAGAGGCACTGCTCATTTTAGGCCTCCCGAGTGAGAAGAAAACAGGTGTGTGGTGGGGAGAAAAATGATGGGTTAATGACAAAAGGCCAGATGTCCTGTCAGAGACTCTCACTATTCCTGAGCGTATGGACCAGACCACCAAGCAAGTCTCTCTGCACTTCTGGACAACATAACTGTGCTGAGGTATAAATTCTGCAACTTACCGAAATGTCCAATTCTACCAGAAGAGTGGTTTTTAAGGCATCATTTGTAGTCAGCTGAACTGCCTTTGAAATTGGAACTTGAAAAATTGGACCCACTGAAGTCAGAGATACTTGGTTTTCCTCCTTGAGAAACAAATGGGATAAAATATTACTAAATGCAATTTTCAATAATACTTACCATTGCTTCACTGTGTGACTAGGTTAAGACCTATAGGATCTTATAAAATATCCGGGCAATATAACTATTCTTTTCTGAGGTAAGTGACTACACACAGATGCTTCTCCATCTCTCAGAAGAGAAGCTGATCCATACTTTAAATTCCTTGTCTGTTAGACCTTAGAATTTGAGATACTGGTACCATATACTAACATTCTCATGTAAATGTCCAACAGTCTTCCTAATAAGCTATGCAAAATGAAATAGCATGCATGCATATTTTAGGAAGGTGGTCCTAAAGGAAATGACAGATGTTTAAGACTGGAAGATGTCTGTACAGATGGTCACAAGAATCCTGTTGTGAGCAGTAATGTTCAACAGAGCTTTCTTGATGATGGGAATGTTCCATACCTGCCCTGGCCAGTATAGGAAACACTAGTCCCCCGTGCCTACGAAGCACTGGAAATATGCCTAGTGTGATTAAGAAACTGGATTCTTAATTTTATTTAATTTTCATGAATTTTCACCACATGTGCTAGAGGTACCTGTCCTGGGAAACGAAAGAAATTCAATTCTGTACTATCCCCATACCTTTTCCAACTTGATGTTCCTAAGTTCTTTTAAAAAACAAATAATACAATTAAAATGTACAAAGAACCTGGATTGACACTTCTCCAGAGAGGAAATACAGATGACCAAAAGACATACGATAAGATGCTCAACATCACTAGTCATCACAAACATGCAAATAAGAATCACAATATCACTTTACACCTGTCAGAAAGGCTATCATCAATAAATCAAAAAACAACGTGTTGGTTAGGATGTGGAGAAAGGGAACCCTCATGCACTGTGGGAATGCATACTAGTGCAGCCACTGTGGAAAACAGTATGGAGTTTCCTCAAATAATTAAAAATGGAACTGCATTATGACCTAGCAGTTCCACTTCTGTGAATATATCTGAAGAAATCAGAAACAACTCGAAAGAATATATGCATCCCTATATTCAATGCAGCAATTTCTACAATAGCCAAGATTTGGAAGCATCCTAATTGCCCATCAGTAGATGATGAGTGGATAAAAAAAGCAGTGGTACATTTACACAGTGGAATACTACTCAGCTATTAAAAAGGAAACCTTTTTTGCGACAGTATGGACAGACCTGCTAGTCAGAGAAAGACAAGTACCATGTGATTTCATTTATATGTGGCACAAAATAAACTAGCAAACAAAGTAGACACAGACTCATGGATACAGAGAAGACTGACAGCTATCAGAAGGGAGGGGGGCAGATTGGGGGGCTGGATGAAAAAAGGTGAAGGGAATAAGGAAAAAAAAAACCTCATAGACATAGAGACAATAGTATGGTGATTACCACAGGGAAAGGGGAGTGGGGTAGAAGTGGGTAAAGGGGGGATAAATGGTGATAGGAGACTTGACTTGGTATGGTGAACACACAGTACAATATACAGATGATGTATTATAGAACCGTGCACCTGAAACTATATAGTTTTATTAACCAATGTCACACAATAAATTCAATTAAAAAAAGTAGAAACTTACATTTAACAAAATGTAGTTAATTCATTTTGGATAAGTGGCTGCATGGGAAGCTGGAAGAGTGTCAGAGCTGAGAGCCTGAATTGTAGGTAATACGTGGGGCATAGGGATGTCCTTCCCCTGCCCTACACCAGTTCCCCAAGGCGATAGTCCCAAAAGGATATCCTAATAAGAGAAACTTTTCCAATCTCTTTCCCTCTTAGTGTGTCCTTTGAGCAGATTTATACAAGTTTTCCTTAAATAGCTGAGATTTTAAAAACCTTTTAACCATGTTACTGACAAGCAACTGAAGTCTATTTAGTGACACCTACCATAGAAGAAACTCTCTCAGCAGACCCTCCTCCTACTGAAGAGACTTGTCAGATTAATCAGGGCTCGCTGTGCCACTGTCACATCTCCATCCTCACAGCGTGAGATGGGGCCTGTATACCATGTCTGTGCACTCTGCACCCACCAGCCAAGGCATGTACTTACTAGTCACTTGTTCCCTGAAATTTCCTCCAGCATTCCTAAGTGCAATGCTAACTTCTCTCCATGACTGCCAACATGTGGTACCCTGAAATTTCCTAAAGCATGCTTAGCTTAGGGAAAATTTCCAGTGCAGCCAATCTGTCAATGCAGAGCCAAGCCTTCTCTCTTTAGTTCCCAGACCTGGCTAAATTGTACTTTATTGTAATTACCTTACTTAATTAAACAGTTCACAAAATAATGCAATATAAGTCCAAAATCCATAACCCATAGTTATTTATGTAAAAACATACTTGTTATCTGACTGCTTTAGAAACACACTATAAATGTATGGTGCTAAAAAAAACCATTTGTTTGTAAATAGTTCTAATGTATTAGAAAGCTGTACTTAAACTGTTTCTCAAATGTCCCAGTCTTTCTTCACTAAAAAGAAAACAAAAAAGTACAAATCATGATCGCTGCTCTGAGGGTGCAGTTTATGTATGAAAGCCCTTGTGGAACTCCAATCAGTCACTCCTAGGAAAGAAGGACTTGGTTCTGCATTAACAGATTGGCTGTACTGAAAATTGACCGTAAGCATGAGGTAGGAAATTTCAGGGTACATATACTGGTAGTCGTGGGGAGAAGTTAGCTATTATTCATCTTGAGCTCAAAAATTTACAGACCACTTTAAAGCCATTGATTTGATAGGGAAAATACTCTAGGAAAAGAAAAAGACTTATTACAGACAAAAACAGGTCTATAAGATATTATCAAGAAAAAGAATAATCCCCAAAATGGAGCATCCAGGATACCAAAATCCATACTGGAAGAGATTTTACTCTAAAGGATTCCTTTAAGTTTAGCTGCTAAGATAATATCCTGACTGCCCACAACAACTTGCCTTTCACTGACTCATATCTAAAATAAGAAACCAAGAAGTTAATTCTCCAGAATATTGGAGAAGCTGAGCTCTTGACCATTTACTCTTCAAAGATAGAACTAATGTAATACTACAGCTGTTTCTGTAGTGCATGGGACAGGCCTCTGTGGCAACTATTCAACTCTGCCACTGTAGCGCAGAAACAGCCACAGAGGACTTGTGAGTGGATGGGTGTGGCTGTGTTCCTGTGAATGGATGGGCAGCCCTGTGTTTCAATACAACTTTATTTACGAAAGAGAGGTGGCGACCCACATTTGGCGAGCAGGCCATAAATTGTTGACCTATGTTGTAATGCAATTAAAACAACAAACAAAAAAACACATCCATGGATAAGATGATAGATAGCATGAAGTGAGACTGCTTACCTGGCCAAGAGACTCATGCAAATGCACCTGTAGATATTCTGGTGGTAGAGCAGGAATATTGAGAGAGGCCTGGGAAAGTGGGGGTATTGAACGGGTAAGTGAAGACTCAAACTCTGCTATCAAAGCACTTGATTGACTTCTGTTCACTGCATTTTGTTCCAAAACCTCAGAATCCTTTCTTCCTGAGTCATCTAACCTAAGAAGTTCAACTTGTGATTCGATGTGTATTAATTCCGGTTTCACAGAGTCCATCTTCTGGGGGGCGGTTGATGCTGTTGTGAGAGTCCCACTCATCTCTTCTTTTCCTCTCCTTGACATAAAATGCTTAGTGAGGGCAGCCCAGAGCCCGTCAATCCACGGCTCAACCACAAGTTCTAAACTGGATAGTTTTAAGGAAAAAGGGAAAAAGAACAAATGCCTGAGTTCTCTATTTAAATACATAAGACTAGGTAATGGCAGTGTCTGTGCATTCCACAGAATGCTAGGCAACTGTCAAAAACACTAGGAAGACTATTCAGAATACCAGAATTACTGACAGGTCACTAAGTTAAAAAGCAGAATATTGCTCTGAGTGCATTAGCACTGAGATGTAAAAAACACGAGCATGTAAAATGTTAAAGAACAGAAATGAGGATATTTCAGTAGTAGGTAATAGGAATACTATTCCTCTTTATAATTAAAATAGAGTTGGTAGTCTTTATTTTAAAAAGTTTTAATTTTAAACAAACATGCTAAATACTGATGAGGCTAAAAGAACTTACCCAACCCAAGTCTACTCTAATATCACAAATGATAATTACATCAATGGAGTGCAATTATCTTTCTTTGCCTAGTCAATTTATTGATCTTTTTCTCCCTACATATTAAAATATCACCAAGAAGTCATGCTGATTTTTACAAATACCTACACATTTTAGATAAAGGTAACTGGCACACCTTTTGTAATTTCTTCCATTAGCAGATACTGACAAAGATGATGAACTTAAAAAACTCGCTACCATTCATCATGTACAAACAGGGTTCCCGGAAATGACAAGGAAGTGTATTGCTCTTACCCTACACAGTCATCCGCATGTCCAGTGTCATAGAAATGCCGGGCACCAAGCTCCTGAAGCCGTTTATCAATCACCTTCCCCCCATTACAGAAGTACGTATATTCTGAATCACCCAGACCTAAAGAGCCCAAGTAGGTTTTCAGTGCATAACAAGCTTTAAATTTAAAGAAGATATATACAAATAAAATATTTAAAACAATTATATTCGTGCTCTTTTCAATGGAACAAGACTAATGTATAGCTTCACATCTTATTTTTTCTTTGAGTAATACTAGGTATGAAATAATTTTCTCCTACTTTTTAATGTAAAAATACCAGACATGTCGAAACAACAAGTATTTTTTGGCCTCTGTTAACAGAAAAATTTTTTCACATTCTTGTTTCCATGAATCTGTGTAAAATATGGAAATCTTCAAACAAGGATTTGGTTTAAAAACATCATTTCTGTATCTGCAGACTTTTCTGATCTAGTGCAGAGGTCTGCAAACTACAGCCTGTGGGCCAAAGACACCATCATTCTTTGTAAATCAAGTTTTATTGGCACCCCGCCAAATCCATCTGTTCACATACTGTAATGGCAGCTTTCAAGCTCCCACAGCAGAGTTGAGTAGCTGTTATAGAGACCAGATGGCTTGCATGCAAAGCCCAAAATACTTACACATCTGGGGCTTTGGAAGGTTTGCTGATCCCTAACCTCAAGCACAGAAGGTACAACTACAACGAAAACAATCACTTTCTATTGTGTCTGTGTTGAATAAATTAAGAATTGCTTCTATGTTTCCTGGTAAGAAAATGGGCTAACATTTTCATACTTGGTTGAAAATTTAAAATTAAAAGTTTAAATCTCTCAGTTTTTAAATCATTTCCATGCACTTTCCCATCAAGAACAGAGTCCACTTATGGGCCTAAGATAGACTATAATGGTAGGCTAGGAAGATACATTCAGATACTAGAATTAAAGCCAGTAATAACAGTACAGTCAGAGCAGAAAATATAGTACATACCTAATAATCCATACCGTAGGTGAGCTAAGAAATCAACCGGCAGCGTCTTGTCCTGTATTTCCTTCACGAATTTGCGGGCTGTGTCAGGCGGGTCTCCTGTGCCCGTGGTAGAAACCACCACCACAAGAGGAGCTGTTTCAGTTTTTAGATCATACTACAAAACAGGAACGTCCTGTCAGAGATCTACTGCCACATGCAGTTTTGACTTACAATCAGCTTAGTTTCCTGTCTTGAACCCATCACAAGTATGGCACAAGGCATAAAGGCAGAGAGGCATGCAGAGCATTTTCGACTTGGAAAGAGAAAATGGCATCAGGGAATCTGGCTATCACTCCCTCAGGGCTCCAGAGCTGGGAACATCAGCAGTGATAAACTGAGATCAGTGTTTCCAAGTCTTAAAATTGAGCTTCTTCATTCTAATTGTCACCTAAATTTAAATATTTCAAATAGAGCACTACAGTGTTTTTATGATTCCATGAGCTCTACTGCTAACAAGTATCATCTAGTTTGGCTCAAAGGAATTCACCTTACTTTTCATGCTGGTATAATAGATAAGACTTTGAGCTAACATTTTACCAGGAGATTCAACATTTATAAGGCACTTCACAAGTTGTGTATTAAACTCTATGCAGTTTGTTAAAGTAACTCCACTTTGAAAAGGACTTCCATGACCCAGAAAGTAGAGAGCTACCTGTTTAAACTCAGATCAAGAACTGGAGAAACCATTCAGCTAGGGAGAGCAAATGATGACATGGTATTAAAAAACATTAACTTCTCACCTAACTTTCAAATAGATGCTGACCTGGGTGGTGAGTTGACCCAAGGGGCCAAATCAGAGTTAATTATATAATGACCTTGTTTTTCTAACAGATTCAGATTGTATTCCACCATGTGGCACCCGTAATGTACATTTACTTTGAAGTTACTATAGAACCTGACAACTGATGGTGTCCTCCAGGATGCTCCCTGTTGGGTGAGTTGACTACATCAGAAATCACCTTGGTTCTGCTACATAAAGGAACTAGTTGGTTCTCCTTTTATGAGTTGAGTTTATAATTCACCTGTGCTGCTGACAGTCTAGACTTTTGAACTAGAGGTGTGGGGAAAGCCAGAGGAGGTTGTAAACTTGAGAGTGTACCAGCAGGGTAGTTTTTGAAGTACTGAACTAAATTTGACTGCTTAGTGGCTGGGAAATCAGCTTGTGCTTGTATGAAAAGACCCTGCTAGTTGCTATGACCTGGATCATATAAAACAGTAAAATCTGGAGGTCTCAAAAGAACTAACTGTAAGAAGAACATAGATCTGTTAAGATCTCATGTATCCTAAAGTAGAGACTTCTGCAGAGATGGAATGCACAAGTAGTCCCTGATCTAAAGAAACTGAATCTTCTCCAGACCCTTAGGCTTCTACTTTATATTCTATTTTGCAAAAGAATTAAATGCCCCTTCATTTGGAGGAACTCTGACACCAATGGCAAGGTCTTTATTTTGGAGAAAAGTAAACGGGACCCTGGGGTTCATGAGGTAGAAAGCACACCTATGCATGCGAACATACACATTTCATTTGTTCTCACAGCCCCCCATGAGATAAACAAGGCAGACTACTACTTCCATGTTGGTTAAGTAGCTGTTTCCGTTTCTGAGGCAGTTTAGTCTAATTCAAATGGATGCTTAAATGTATAAAGAAAAGCTGGCAGGAATCTTAAAACTCTTGACAAAATAAACTTCTGAGTATTTTTTTAAAAAAGGATTACAATGGCTTTTAAAGTCCTATATTGTTGTTTAACATCACTCTCAACCAAAATATCTTCAAAGCATAAAACAATAAAAACCAGAGGAATAACAGCTCTTACTTTATCCGATTCACTAATACAGTGAAGATCTGCAGAAAATCCATGTGCAACTGCCTTTTCACATATTTCTTCTGCTATGGCCTTTGCTTGTCCTCGCTGTGTAGCATAGAGTAACAAAAACCTTCTCATTGCCTCCAGGCATATGCTAGAGTTAGAACAGTTACACTGAAAAATAAAAAAGGGGAAAAGGGATTTTCTTTCTAATGAAGGAGTAACAATCTGCAGGTAGTGGTTCTCCCTCATGATCTTCAAAAAAAAAAAAGACTCCAACAATATCCACACAAAATATGAAATACACTTCTCTGAACTTATTAGCATTAATTATCAAGAAGTCATAAAAAAGAGAATTTATCAAACCAAGGAGAACAGAGAAACAAGGCTCTGATTCCATGACTCAGAAATCATTCTGGGGTGGAGACTACTTGGGCTTCAATCCAGGGCCAGTCATTCACAACTGCAGAAGTGTAGGCAAGCCTCCCCAGGGATCTGTGCCTCAACCCTCTCACCCTTAAAGCCGGGAGAGTCACTGAAATGCCCAAAGACTGAGAAACCAAGCACCTGAACAGTGGCTGAGACAGAGCAGTGTTCAATAAATCTCAGATTCCTTTCTGCTTCCTGTTTTTAAAAATGGTAAAAGTAAAAATTCCATTAAAATTGTAGGAGTCTTGGTTTCTACTTGATTCTAATGCTAAATAAACTAGTAATGAACTTAATCAAATACTGTTTTCTTATTTAACTCAATGTCAAGTATATGTAAGTGCATGTGTATATGTACTTAAATATGTATTGATGGAAGGCAAACAGTTCTAATCCACTAGCACACAAGCTCTTCCTGAAGAGACAGCAGTAATAAAATAAAGATTACTCACAGACCTCTCCTCATACTCATTCCGTGTCCACAACTGGGGGCTGTCAATTTGTAGGGAAAAATTTAAACTGAAACCCAAATCAAAATATTTTTGGTGAATGAACCACCAAGTTTCATGCTCCTCTAGCCAGTTACATCTTAGGACAAATTAAGCAACAAATAAAAAAAATAAAAGACCTGTGTTAGGGAACATGTTGACAAGCATGGAATATGCTCAGAGAACAGGACGTGCCTGGCACGCAGAGGGCGCCCCGTGAATTAGTGGAATAAAGGAGCGCGGGAACGAGCATACACGACAGCGCCGCACATTCAGGGCTCACCGCCAGCCGGGGAGGCGCAGTGACAGGCGGCCACCGCCTATTGTTATCATCACCAACTACCCGGAACGTTCCCGAGGGGCCGCGCACAGGCCTGGGCGCTTCAGAGAACGACCTGAACCTCTGCGTCCTACAGCCGCCTTACAACAGAGCAAGGTCAGGCGGAGCGGCGCGGGAGCGGGACCCCATCCCGCCCGGGCCGCGCTCCGGGCGTTCCTGCGTCTCCCGCCCCGTTCCCGACACCCCCTCGCGTCCCCGCGCCCCCCTGCGGCCTCTACCCCAGCCCAGGAAAGGGTTCCGGACACAGACGCCGACGGAAGAGGGGCCCACAGCCACCGACGGGGCCGGCTCCGCTCTGGCAAACGCCGGTCGGCGCTCCCGGGTGGCGGCGGA